GGGGGGGGGGTGAGGAGTGGCGGTTGCAGGGCAGGCGATAGCAGCAGTGTCTGGGACAAGCTGGGAGCCCTTGCACCCCACACCGTGGCCTGGATCGCCCAAGCCCCGGGGCTGCAGCAGGGCCTTTGGGACAAAGGCAACCACCCTCGCCACGCAGAGCAGGGCTCCAATTCCAGGCTCCTGCCAGGTCCTCATGCCCGTGTTAGGGTCGGAGCCCCCGGCAGGAGTCCGTGCACAGGTGCCAGTGGGGTGCTACAGAGTTGGGAGTAGTGACGGGGAGAACATGGGGTCTGACTGCAGACCCGGCGGGAAGGTAGGTTCGGGGCCTGCCGCACCGGTGAGGGCAGGGCACGATCAGCGCCAGGGGCTCGCATGTAAACACAGACTGCTAAAGTGCTTGCACCTCCCTCGGCCACCGCTGCCCTGCCCGCCCACCGTCCAGGTGACTAGGCCACAAGGAGGGCACCGCCCTGGAACCTGTAGCCTCCCAGAGGCAGGCACAGGGGCTCAGCTCTGCGGGGACCAGGGACGGTGGGGGAAGGGGCTGGAACTGGATTCTGAAGAGTGGGGGGGCACAGGGGCTAAGCAGTCCCAACCTGACCCTCACAGAACTGGAAGAACGGGGGCTTCAAGTAGAAGCTGGCGCCCTGGGAAGACTTTCGGGGGTAGGGTGGGGACAGAGGCTTGCCCCCAGGCATGGCCAGACTACACCAGAGGGGAGGCAGGGGTGCACCCAAGGACGAGAATCCAGGTCAAGGAAAGCGGCTACCAGAAGACAGCCTGATCTCTAGACGGACTGTCCTCAGCTTGGCCGTGCCGGGGACAGGGGCCAACCTGAGCTCCACTGGGGCACCCATAGCAGTGGGAGGCGGGAGCCCTGCCCAGTGCCCGAAGACCCCCATCTGCCCTGTTCCGGGAGCTTCCTGTGCTCGGATTTCATGCAGCTCCCTGACGAGAGGGGGAGGCCCCCGACCTGATCTCCAAGGTGTGGCTCACGCTGCTTAGGAGGGGGGGACCCCAAGACGGGCAACCCGTGGGCGCGGGGCCGGCCACAGTTAGCTGTCCCTTAAAGTCGGTGGGAATCTTTAGTACCGTCGAAAAAGTGAATTGGAAAGGGGCCGGGCCGCTCGTTCGCTTTCACAAGTGACTGCTTAATTAAAAAACATAAAAAAAGGGCCTAACAACCTCTAGTATTCAACACTTGCAGTTTTAAAAAGATCAAGTCAGACTAAACGCTAGCACGGTCATGCAGGAATCCACGGCCCTGCGCCCTGGACGCTCTCGAGGGGCCAGCGAGAAGTTCTCTCCTCCTCACATCAAAACGAAAACAGGATGACCCACAGGTCGAGGGGCAGAGGCCTGGGTGGGGGGGCTCCAGTCAGGGAAACCCTGGCCACTTTCTCCACGACCATTTGGTATTGCTTTCCCACCGCCTTAATTTCCTTATTCTACATCGTAAAATTTCTCCTTCTCCAGTTAACTATACAGGACCCCACTGGGGCTGGAGACTGAGGCTAGAGCCACATATATATAGATATATATATATGTACAGGGTTTTTTTTGTTTTTTGTTTTTTTTAATTAAAAATTTGTTCCTTCTTGCTCACTGAGGGCAGGGTGGGCAGAGCCGACCTCCAGGCCCTCTGGTCACTGCGTTCTACCCGCAGGGGCCCTGCCACAGCCCTGGCCGCCCGCGCAGAGTACAGCAGGGTTTCTTTATTCCTCCTACATAAACCAAGTCCCCAGGTGTCCCACCGCTCTTGAGGGGCCCGCACGCTCAGAGACACCAGACTGGAAGCCGCTGAAGGTGGAGTGGAGAGCAGGGGACACAGAGAGGGCGGAAGGGAGGAGGATGCTCGGGGGCTGCTCCCAAGACCTGCACAGTCGGAGAGCACGGCCCGCCCAGGGGTGGGTGCTGGGAGCGGTGCGGTGGGGGAATAAATAATGGGAACCTGCGCTCAGGACCCGGAGCCCCAGGCCCCAGTGGCTCCCAGAGGCACAGCCCTGAGGACAGGAGAGGAGTCACCAAGTCCTTCTGGAAGCCACCTGGGGGCTTCGAGGGAACCATTCTGCAGCCCCTCCATAGGAGGGAGCTGGGGCCTCTCTGGGCGAGGTGGACGTGGCGCTCCGGCCTCGGCCGCGGCCGCGGACAGCACGCGGTGAATCGGAGGATGGTGGCGGTGGGGCAGCAGCGAGCGTGGAAGTGCCGGACGCGGCAGGTGGGCAGCGCGACGGGCGGACGACTTGAGCTCTCCTCGGCTGGGCCCTGGCCACTCGGCCTTTCCCTGGGCTGCCGTCAGGCCCTGGGCCTCGCGCTCCGCCCGGGAAGCCGGGAGCGGCTGACGCCCTCCTGGCCCCCCGTCCCGGCCCTCTGACCTGGGTAGCACGGCCTCAAGGAGACAGACCAGGCTGGCTACCCCTTCCTGGAGGGCTCCAGCCTTACCCCCAGGTCCCCGGCGGTTACCCTCTTCTCCCAAAAGCCAGGGGTCACACCTGGGCTCCCCCAGCCCTGCGGCGAGCAGTTCCGGGCACAGAAGGTGCTACAGGCACGGTCACCCACACCGAGAAGCACTGGGACCCCCGCCAGGCAGGAGGAGGAAGGGGAGGGCCGGGAGGACACTGGGCTGCACGCCGGCCCTGAGCGCACCGGCACTTGGCACAGTGGGGGCGAGGCTGCCTCCGGGGCCTCCCAGCTCTGGCTGCCGGACGGAGGCCGCCCCCGCGGGCCCTCTCGCTCAACTCCCACTGGGTGCTGACGGCCTAGTGTCTCAGCTGCTCAGGGCCATCGTGTCCACCACCTGCTCCAGCTTGCTGCGGAGCCGCTGCCGCCGTGCCTGCTCGTCCTTCTCCAGGGCCGTCAGGATCTGCAGAAGGGGTCGGGGGCGTCAGCGGGCCTGGCTGGGGCCACCTGCTCGCAGGGGGTGGGGTACACGGAAGCTTGGGGGGCGCCCAGGGAGCATGTCACACGGTCGTGACCGGCGGGGTCTCTGGAGCCAGTGCCAGGTTCCAGCCGCTCCGTCCTCGGCTAAGAGGCCTGGGTTGAGCCTAGACCCCCCAGGATCCCGGCGTGGAGAATGAGGCCCCCGGGTCGCCATTCCTACTCTGGATCCCCGAAACACCAACGCCACACAGGGCTTACTCACAGCCAGCCCTCTGAGTCCTCTTGGTGTGGCGTCCTCATCTGTCACAGCAGGGCCTGGCCTCCCAGGGCACAGACGCCACCCCCACACAGCCTGCTCTGCACCCCAGCTCGGCCGGGAGAAGCAGCACCGGGCTCTCGTCGGGCCCTCTGCCCGCACTCCTGCGTCAGGCAGGCCAGCAGCCGAGCGGCACGCAGCCTTGCAGCCACCTCCCTGCACCTGGCTCCCTCCAACCACCGCCTGTCCCTCTGCACCCCGTTACAGCAGAGCTCCTTGGAGAGGACTGCTAGCTTCCCTCCGTTTTCCCTCGAAGGCCGAAGGAAGGCGGGCTTCAGTCCACAACTCATCCTCCTTGGCGCTGGGCCACCTGCCCACGGCCTGTCCCTGCCTCTCTGTCCCAGGGCCCCACCCGTCCCCTCCTGGCTCTGGACTCACCTCTGGGGCCGCCTCCTCCATTCACAGGCCAAGGTCCTTCCCTCAGTTGCCGACCCCACACCCTGGCCTAGACTCTGACACTCCTGCTCTCAGGTCCTCTGCCCCTCAAACTTGAATAGCTGGACCCCTCGCCCTTCAGACCCGTGCCTCCTGCAGCCTGCCCCGCCTCCTATCACTGGGCTGCAGGTCTGAAATCAGGCCCACAGCCTGTCAGATGGGCAAGGCCCAGCCCCCGAACCGAGTGGGCCTGGCAGCACAGCCACAGCTCCCACCGGCCCCCGCCTCCCTCCCATCCTCTGGCATCTGGCAGTCCAGTCATGGCTCTAAACCTTGATGGCCCGTCTCACTCAGGGAACAGCCCAAGTTCCCCAAGGTCTGCACACCCAGTGACAAACCCTGCCTGAGCCTTCCCTACCCCTCCTCTAGGGCTGGCTCTGATTGGGCCTCATGGCCTCTGCAGTCCTGCAGCAGGGCCTACTCTGGCCTTAGGGTCCTGGCATTGGCCATGCCCATCCTGCCTCTCCAGCCCTGTGTGCACCATCCAATCCAGTCTGTAAGTCCCTCCTCCCTCCTCCCTCCTTCAGCGGCTCAGGGAACCCCAGCTCTGCACAGATGCCAAGGAGACCTCCTGAGGCCTCACTCCAGGTCAGCAAGGAAGGTATTAAAGGTTGAGGAAAGGCCTGGTGCCCTGCCCTGGAGACACCCACTCAAGCCGATAAACCTCATAACGGCCCCTCAGGGAACGGTCCTGCACTGACCCACGGTCTCCACTTTGGAAAGACACTGCCATGCGCTCCCCCACGCCCCACACCGACCACACAATCCCTGACCTACTACAGCCCAGCCCGACCCTGAGGCCTGGAAGGGAGTCATAACGACATTCCCTTCCTGCCCCAGCGAGTGAGGTGGCTGGTTGGGGTCCAGAATGGAAAGGAAAAGCGCCTGGTCAGTCCTGAGACCTGGGGAGGGGCCAGCGGAGCAGGGGTGGCCCAAGGGACCTCGGGGTGGGAGCCTGGCAGGGGTCTGGGCCAGGCGGGTGTGGAACAGGTGGCTGTGGGTGAGGGCGAGTGCACATGCTCACCTCGTCCTTGTACTTGGTGATGTAGGAATAGATCTCGTGCAAGGCGCTCATGCTGTTGAACTGGCTCAGGTGTAGCCGCGACTGCTCGGCCAGGTAGGCGCTCATGTCCTGGTCGCTGATGGCGGGCATCTTGGCGATGTCAGCGTAGTACCTACAAGGGGCGACAGGGCGGGCCATGAGCTGGGTCCGGCCCCTCGCCCACCTGCCTGGCGCCCCGGCGCCCGACTCACCTCTCCACCCAGCTCTTGTAGTTGGGGATGTCCTTGGCGTAGAGCAGTTTGTTAGAGGGCGAGTCCTTGCCCAGCTTGTGCTCAGACGTGGAGCAGGAGTCCATGAAGGTCTGGGCCACCACAGACAAGCAGGCGTCCGTGATGCTGCTCTTGTGGATGTCGAACACGAACTGTGGGTTCTTGATCACGTTCACCCAGAAGCGCAGGGGCAGGCTGCAGGTAGGCAGGCCCAGGCACGTGGTCAAACAGGGCCTCAGCACCCCTTCCGGATGGCCCAGGGAAGGGGCCAGCCAGAGGTCTCGCAGCCCTCCTGGCTCTGACCTTCACGGTGGCCATGGACTTCCTCGCAGATGGGACAACTGAGGCCCACAGAAAGCCAGGACTCTCAGTGAGTGAGGGCTGTGCGTCCCTATCACTCGGTGCCTCCTGGAGGATAGTCCTCTCCACACAGGCACACGTAGGTGAGACATACAGACCCAGAGGAGCTCCCTCACCCTCGGGTGCCCGCTGTGCATGGCCTGCACAGGGTCCTCCTAGGCCTGCACGACTGCAGGGGTCACACACACCCAGGCTGGCGCACCCCCAGGTATGCACACACCTGTGCAGGCACACTGCTGGGCTGGCTCACACCCGGACAGGCTCACCCCCAAGGCAGGGACACCCCTGGGCTGGCTCATCCCTGCTCCTACCCAGATGGGCCCTCGAAGCAAGACCAGGAAGGGATCCAGGAGACCCAGCCCCACAGACAGCTGACCTCTTCATCTAAAATGCCACCTCTAAGACAGCCATCAGCTAGGAAACGAATAACCACTAGTGTGGCTGTTTAATTAAATAGAATTAAGTGAAACTAAAACTCCCTGTTTTGGGTTGCACTAGTCTTGTGTCAAATGCTCAGTAGCCACACATGGCTGCCAGCCACTGCTCTGGACAGCAGAGATCTAGAACATTCCATCATCGCAGGAAATTCCCTGGACAATGCAGACCTATACGGCACTGCCTCTTCCCCAGCGCCCCATGGAACCCCTCAAGGAGCACAGGGGAGGCAGGCAGGAGCTGGAGCACCCCGTGGAACCCCTCAAGGAGCACAGGGGAGGCAGGCAGGAGCTGGAGGCCCAGGGTGGGCCCCAACAAGGACCGGGCTGCATCCCAGGCTAGGGAAGCAGCAGCACGTAGAGGCCAAAGTGTCGGGGGGGGCTGAGATCACCAGAGGACAAGGGAGGAAGATGCCAGAGGCCAAATGCACAGGAGCTTCTCTGAAGACAGGGCAAATGGTGCAGAGGGCACACGGTCAGGCTCAGAAAGACAACATCCAGACAGGGCGGTGGCCGCTGGCCCCGGGGAGGAAGGGGTGAGAGTTTCAGGGGTGTTTGCTCTCACTGTCATATCCGCCCCGCAGCCGGCCAGCGTGGGCCCATTCCGCCGCGCCTGCTTCTCACACAGCAGCCCACACTCACACACCTGCACACAGCCAAGCACATCCCAACACACATGAATACACATGCACGAAAACACACGCGCATGTCCACCGCCCATGCCTAAGGCAGGTCCTGCAAGTCGGAGCAGGGGATGTGCCCAGACCCTGGGTGGGGGAGGCCACAGACACCCCCAGGAGGGGTGAGTCAGGAAGGCCAACCCGAAGAGCAGCTGGCCTCAGCTCGCAGGCAGTGCCGCTAGGGGGCCTCTCTCCTACGTCCCGGCCCCTGGGGGACAGCCTCCCACAGCCCCGCAGCCGCCAGCCCTGCCCGGCTGCGCCCTAGAGCTCACGCTCCTGCTCGCGGCAGCCTCTGCCCCGGGACGCACCAACCCCGTCCCCAGAACGCACCAGTTGCTCTTCCAGGTGTGGCGCACATCCGAGTCGTGGATCTGGTGCTGGTCGGCCTGCTCGTCCAGGAAGTCGAACATGTACTTGATGGCCAGTGGCAGGGCCGAGCCCCGGTGCGCCGTGCTGAAGATGGTCTCAAACAGGTCATCCACAAACTTCTGCAGCGTGCCCTGTATGCAAGCGAGGGCACAGAGCTCCAGGGGGGCCGCCAAGGTGGCCGGGGCAGCTGGCCGCAACCCCCGGGCCAGGGCGAGGATGAGGGCTTTGCTCTGGGCTTGGCTTTCTGAGGCCTGGGCCCGGCTGTCCCCGCGTCCCCACCCCCAGCCAGCAGGCCTACTTTGGTGGCCAGCAGCCGCGTCAAGTAGATCTCCGAGACCATCTTGCTGCCTCGGTCGCCCTCCCGCTGGTCCAGGTGGTCGTGATTCTTCACGAGGTGCCACAGCTTGGTGCCGCTCTCCAGGTCGGGCGTGATCATGGGCGTGCGTGAGCGGAGGCTGTCGGGGCTGCTGGCTGTGCGCAGCATGCTCTCTGCGGACACCGTGCCTGTCAGTGGGAGCCTCGCCACGTCTAGCACCCGTGCCCGCCCTGGTGCCAGCTGGGTGGCCTCAGGCCAGGCAGCTCCCCTGTCTGAGCCTCAGTTTCCTCATCTGAAAAGTGCAGTCAACAGACCCACCTCCTTGGGTTGCTGGGGGACAGATGTGCCACGATGTGCCATCTGGGGAGAGTCAGCCTCCAAATTTGCGGGAAAGGCCATATTCAAGTGACAAGCCATGACAAAGCACCCCCCCCAGCCTGCGGCAGGGAGCACGGGGGAGGCATCCCACCCAGATCTGCAGGCCCTGCCCAGTGTCCCCGTCACTCACCGTATCTGCTGAGGGACTTAGTGAAGGTAGACGAGTTGGAGATGTTGTAGGCGGACGTCTGCTTGGGCACCAGCGCCACTGAGGACCCGTCCGTCACCTGCAGGCAGAGGGCCAGGAGATGTGTGACACACCCTCGGGGGCCCAGATGACACCCTCTTGCTGGCTCCGTGCCTGGAGGCCAATCACCTCAACACATTCTGAACCTCAGTTTCCCTACTAGTGCCCCTCCAGGGCCATGTGGGGCCTCTGTATCCTCGTCCCCGAGAGGTCTGCCACCCACAGCCCAAGAGGCCTGGACACTGCCTCGGGCCCCCAAGGGGAAAGGCCCCAGCTGTGGCCAGAGGATCACCTGGTAGTGAGCCAGAGTGTTCAGCCTCTTCCAGTCATTGTCGATCTTGGTGGTAACGTCCTCGTCCTGCAGGATGATGCGTGCCATACGGCCCTGGCGCCACTCTGCGGGGAAGGTGAGCGCTGGAGGGGCGGGCACCTGGGCAGGGGCCACCCACCCAACTCTCCCTCCTGTCACAGTGGGAAGGCCAGGCCTTGGCGGGGCAGAGCTTCCTGAGGACACTGAGTGAGAGGCCTCCAACGGCAGAATAAGGGAGAGATGAGGCCCCTCCCTCCCTCCAGGCAGCTCCCATCCGGGCTCCAAACAGGAGGCATGCACCCCTGCAGTTAACCCTGCATCCCTGCTGCCTCCCATGCCCGCTCTGGCAGCCCTCTGCCTGTTTCGGCTGCCCCTCCCCCCGTGGTACACCTCGCCTTCCAGAGCTCTAGGCCCAGAGCTCAGCCGGGCATTTAAGGCCAGCGTGGTGCCCCACCCCTTAGCCTCTCAGCCACAGCAACCGTGGGGCTCCCTGGCCCTGGCCCTCCCCTTCTTCCTCTGGCCCTTCTAGAGCTGCAGCTGCCCCTACCTGTCTGGCTCATGAGCCAGCACAGCCCCCGCCCCAGCTCCCACAGCCCACTGCCTCCTACGGCACATGGGAACCCTCCCTGGATAGGGCAGCAGCCTCGGAAGTGTCCTTCCTGCTTCTACCCCTCCACCCTGGCTGGGAGCTTTCCAGAGCCCAGCCCAGACCACATCCCTTTCCTCAACACCCCCCATGGCCTCCAGCACCCTCCAGACCAGCACCCAGTGCCTGGCTTGTTACCTGTGGCCCCAGACACGCCCCCCGGTGCTGCCCCTCTGCCTCAGGCCTTGACACATGCTGCCAGCCAGCATCAGGGCCCCTCCAGGGCTCACCCAGGTCCATGTCCCCAGCCTTTGGCCGCTGGGAGTAGGGCACGCCCTTGTACACGGCGTCCAGCAGCTTCTCCTTAACCTGCGTCACCGTGTCACAGTTCAGTCCCTTCACTGGCACTTCGGGAGCATTCTCGTTCTCGGGGTTCACACAGTTCAGGGTCTGCGGGCGGGGAGGGGCGCGGCGTCAACCCCCAGCTCTCCTGGGGCAGGTCGTGCGGGGGTGCGCCGAGGGGCCGGGGCTGGACGGGACGGCTGGGCTCGCGCTCACCAGTGTCTTGTAGTCGATCTGCTGCCGGATGAGCTTGTCCTCGCTCAGGGAGTAGCGGGCCTCACCGGTGATGGCGTCGATGGGGCCCTTCTCCATCTGCTGCTTGATGGCGCAGTAGAGCATGAAGAGGGGCTCTCCTGCACACTCCTGTAGCAGGCGGACAGGCGTCAGGGGGTTTCCAGGACACGTCGCCCCTGCCCCTGCCCCCACCTTCCGCCCCCCCGCTTCTGGTGCGTTTGTGAGCACGCGTCCCACGAGGAGAAACGAGCAACGTTTCCAAATTCTTTCTGGGAGGCAAGGGGAACCCTGGCTCCAGAGCCCAGTAAAGACTGTGCAAGAGAATAAATAACTTAAGCAACAGCCCAGCTGCCCCTGAGAACTTCAAAGCGAAAATTCTAATGGGGCCTCAGCCACGAGGGTCAGGAGCACACGGAGAAGAATACCATGTGGCCGAGCCGCCTTTCCGCCAAAAGAAGATGGAGGCCAGTCGACTCCACCCTGAAGCCTCCCCCCACATCAGGCCTCAGTGGGACCGACACGCCAGCCCCCAGCCCCACTCACCAGAGCCAGACCGTGGCAGCCAGCACCACACCCAGGATGGAGCCCAGGCTCCCAGTCCCACCCCCACGGCCCGAGGCCTGGTGGACCCTATGCCACACAATGCTATGTCTGACGGTGATCTGTCAGATGTCGGGGGCCCACTGCCCCTCCTTCCACTACTTGAGGACACAAGGCCATTGAGGTCACAGGTGCAGACTTACTGACCCAGAGCAGCAACTCACCGGCCCCGCGAGACCTGGAGTCCACGGCCAAGACAACCCGAGGTGGTCCA